CTTCACGATGTAGATACTTCAGTGGTGCCCCGAAGGGTAACTGCAACACGGCGTTTTTCAGAGAGAAAGAAAATGAACATTCTAGGACCGGAGAGGCACACGGGTATTTGTGGGGACAGAGCCTGAGCAGACTGTGAAGCTCCCAAGAGAAGTGGTTCTGCAGAGAAGAGGAAGGCCTTAGCAAGAGCCAGAAAAACCTTCAGCCCGGGCTCCGGAATGAATCCCGTGTAAAGCGGAAGCGCCCAGGGGTAGCTTTAGCCCAGGCCAGTGCTTTCCGGAAGCTGTGCGCCCCTTGGCGAGGACAGTGTGAGGTGGGAAGCAGAGTCCGTCCTCACCACTGGCAGGCAGGTGTCTTGCACCGCCGTGGCCTGGGAGCCGGATTCTCTACCAGAAGCGGACTGCGCAGCCGCGTGGATCCCGGGGTTCGCAGGTCGGAAGCAGCTCCATGGAGACCCCATAGCGCAGCACGTGACGGTGGATGAACAGGGCGCTGCGCATATGGCACAAGTGGTGCAGCTGCAGTGGGAAGCGTGAGGCTGCGGGATTTCGAGCTCAAAGCCAGCACGAGCTAACTACCAAATTTTGAGGCAAGGTTAGGTTATAGAGAGCGACATAAGCAAGAGATTTGCTTGCTTCACAAGCAAAACCGAACCAAACCAACAGAGGCTACTACAAATAATACCCCCCCCCAACAAAAAAAGATAGGATGGTGGTTAAAGTCTTGAAGACTGATTTGGTTCAGAAACTGCTGAGGGTAGGGGCCCGAGCAGAACGCTGTTACAGTTCGGGCGGAGATGAATTGTTTATTTAAATATATTTATTTCTTGGTGCTGGGGATTGAATCCAGGCGTGCTCGGTCGCTCGGCTATAGGGTATCATTAAATAGTACAGTTGGGACTGAAATTTCGATCCTCCAGCCTAGTCCGTCCAGGGACTAGGGCTAGCGGTGCCCTGTCCCAGCTTGATTTGGTAGATTTGATTAGGTATAGTAGAGAAGGGAGGAGCCGGGGATGTAGCTCAGGGGATAGCACATGGTCTACCTTACAAACACATGGTCCTGAGTTCAATTCCCCATACCAATGAGTAAATAAATAAAAGAGAAGGGAGGAATAAGCGTCAGAGAATAAAATTGTTGAGGGGAAGTATCTCCATATCAGTGTGAAGGGCTTCTTAACTGGTTTTTTGTTTTTTTTTTTTTTAGTTTTTCTCCGGTACCGGGAACCGAACTCACGACCTTCCGCTTGCCAGGCAGGTGCTTTGCCACTGAGCTAAATCCCCAGCCCCTTGGGCTTCTTAACTGTTAATAGTTTTTGAAAAAGCTCCCCCTTTCACCTGCAATGAGATCAAAATCTTGTTTTGTTTTGTTTTGTTTTGTTTTTTGCCTTTTGAGACAGAGTCTTGCTCTGCACCTCAAGCCAGCCTTGAGCTCACTTTATATCCCTGGCTAGTGTGGAACTTTCAAGGATCCTCCTGGACTCAGCTTCCCAAGTGCTGGGATTACTGGTGCGCCACCACACTGGGTTCTAAAAGTGGTGTTCTACTGAAGTGGCTGGACAGGTAAGGCAATAGTAATAATAACAGTATTCACATTCACAATAGTAATAATAACAGTATTCACATTCTCTTAGGAGGGAGGAAACTTTCCTAGGGCTCAGCATTCCTTTAACCCCTTCAGAAATAATAGGAAAAGACAGAGGGACACGTGGTTTCATGCTACCTAAGGACTCCCGCGTTTGGATGAAAGGGAAGTTGTATCTGTGGATGAGACAGTAGGAAATACAAGCACCTGAAGATACAAAGTTTAGAGACCTGGACGGACGTGGGAGACACAAAAGCAAGAAAACAGCTCACAGGGATGCATCCGCACCGAGCTCTCCTGGGGAAACCACTTTGCACCCTCCTCAGTGTCCTGGGCATCCTCTCTGCTCCACGTTGTGGTTGTGTCCACCACACAGCTGCACAAATCTCCCACGCATCTGTGTCTTACAAAAGCACTGCACAGTCACCTCTGCCCACCGTGCTCAGCGGTAAGGAGAACCCGGCCCCCATCATTTACTAGCCTACCATTTTCCGATTGTACCAAAATGTTGATTTCGTTTTGTCCGTGCTCAGCGGTAAGGAGAACCCGGCCCCCATCATTTACTAGCCTACTATTTTCCGATTGTACCAAAATGTTGATTTCGTTTTGTAAATAACATGTCTGGTGCAGACTCAGTGACACACACCTGTCAATCAGCCCGGCATTCCAGAGGTTAAGTCAGAAGGGACAGCGAGCTTGCATCAGCCTGAGCCACTCCTCAAGACTGCCTTGAAACAACAATTGAAGAAAATGAAAGAAAAAAAGAACAGAGGACATAGCTCAGTGCTTGAACTCCCTGAGTTCAATCTTCTGGTAGTAGGGTAGGGGAACTTATTTACACTTGAAAAACTGAGCGAGGTAGGGATCCCTCCATCTTAAAAATGTTACCAGACCCACTTGTGGATGTATAAAATACTTGATAAAAATAATCGTCCGCTTTGCATAAGCAGCAATTCCACATGGCACCCACTTGGTCTTCAAAAGCCCTGGCTTGTTTCTTTTTTTTTTTTGAACCAGTACTTGAACTCAGGACCTTGCACTTGCCGGGCAGGCGATTACACCACTAAGATATATCCCCGGCCCTACCCCTGACTTATTTCTGCCACCTTCGCCCAGACCAGTCTTCCTCACTTTTAGTTTATTTTCTTCACATAAATGGTCTCCCACACACACACTGGAGATCGAATTTAGAGCCTCACTTGTGTTAGGCAAGTGCTGATCATTGTCTGCAGATGCATCCTTTTATTTGCCTTTCTTGACAGGGCTTCATGTCCATTGCTGTAGGAGCAGATTTAGCTGAGAACCTCCTGGATGGACTCGCACTTCTGTTCACAGCCCTGCACTAAGCTGACTTTCCTGTTGGGTGTGTGTCCTCAGGAAGGAGAGTGCTGATGCTTATGGGGGCTTGGAGCTCAGAGACCCTTCCTCTTTTGAATGTATGTGTTGTTAGGATTGTTTTTACTGTTATTATTACTATTGCAGTGCTGGGGATTGAACCTGAGTCATGTACATGGTAAAAAAGTATTCTACCACCCAGCTACATGGCCAGCCCTTTTAGTTTTTAAAGTTTTTTTATTTGATGTTTGGGACAGTGTCTTGCTAAGCTGTGAAGTTATCCGTGCTGGGCTCAAATGTGCGATCCTCCTGCCTCAGCCTCCAGAGCTGTGGAATTTCATATATGTTTATTGTGCCCTAGGAGAGAGACCCTTCTTGAAGCTAGGCTATGTGTCTGCCAGCACAAATGTGGGAACAATTTGGATGTGCAAAGATGTGAGCCCAGGGGCAAGGGGTGGGCAGCAAGTCTTTTTGGCTTATTGAAATCGCCTGCCAGCCAAATTCCCTGCATTGCTCCTGGTCCTTTCAGGCAGGGGCATCTCCTTCTTTTTCCTCAGAGTGCACGAATGTTAAGAGCACCACTCATGCCAGGTGTGGTGCATGCCTGTAATCTCAGTACTCAGGAGGCTGAGGCAGGAGGATCTTTGGGAGTTTGAGACCAGCCTGGGCTACAAAGTGAACTCAAAGGCAGCCTGAACTGCATAGTGAGACCCTGTCTCAAGAAGACAAAGAAATAAAAATAAAAATAAAGAGCACCACACGTCAGATACTGCCTGTTTCAGAATTCCTTGCCAACAAAGCAGAATTTTCTCTAAGTGTTCACTGGAATACTTTGTGGGTAGGCGCCCGTTTTGTGGGTAAAGAGGAACGCAGGGAAGTGGCAAAGTGATTCGGGACAGAACTGTGCTGGAGAGGAGGCTGCTGGGCAGATGAAGTCGGAGGTCTCCAGTGCTGAGCACATCCCTGTGACAGATCTGTGGCAGCGGCGAACTGAGAAGGGAGCTGCAGGAGCTTTGAGTCCCCAACTGTTTAAGAGGCTTGGGAAGTGGCAGATCCTGAGGTGAAGGACTGAACCCACCCCACTGTGACCTTTGAAAACAAGGGGTGTTGACGAGGAGCACAGGATAGCTGGGTGCTTCAAACCAGGCATGGAGGGTGCATGACTGTAACCCTGGCTCTCTGGGAGGCTGAGGCAGGAGGATCATAAATTCAAACCCAGCCCACGCAGCTGAACAACTGAGTAGGAACTTCTCTCAAAGTTAAAAGTTTTTGTTTGTTTGTTTGTTTTTTAAAGTCCTGCAGATGTAGCTTGGTGCCAGTGCAAATGTTCTGGGTTCAATTCCCAGTACTAATAAAAAAACAAGCCAATTCCACACCAGTATCCGTGTCAAGCAGATATTTGTCCTTCAACGCTGAGGGCTCTTTTTCCAAGTTCAGCGGCAGTGAAAGACGTTTGGCATTTAACTTATTGGAGGAGAGTCTGATTTCTCTAAGAAAGGACTTCGGTGCTGTTTCCCCTTCTGAGGTCAAGTTTACAAACCATCACCAAGGACTTCTAACCCAGAGAGGAAAGGGGAAGGAGAATCACCGATTTAGAGTTGCTCCGGAGTCTGCAAACTATCACGGCTCTCAACAAATAGGCAAATTTGGAAGCAGGCTTATGGTGTTGCAACAAAGCAAATAAAAACCAGAAAACTGTAACTCATATGAGCCTCCAAAATCGCAGGTTCTCTCTGATCCATACACTTGCTAATGTCGTGCAGAAAAATTACACAGGGTCCAAATTGCCCAGATCCTGAAGAGGAAAGAGTACTGAGGTTCTTTCTTAGAGAAATCATGAACTTCTCAAGCAGGGTCAACGTGAGACACCTTTAACTGCAGATAAACTTAGAAGAAGAGATACACCAGCATATTGAAGGGCGCACTCTACTTGACACTGATGCCAGTGACCGCTTACCCCCGACACTGGAATTGAACCCGGGCTGTTTGCACTGGTATTGAACTTCATTTCCCACTGCTTCTTACCTATACATATATATATTTTTATTTGTTCATTTTGTTTTAAATTTTGACAGAGGTTCTCACTAAGTTGTTAAATTGTCCAGGGTGGGCTGAAATGTGTAGTCCTCCTGCCTCAGGCACCCAGAGTTCTAGGATAACAGGTGTGCACCCCCATGCTTGGATTAAAGTACCCAACTCCCTTGGATTCTGAACAGCACTTGTTTTCAAGGGTACCATGCGGATAGGTTTCTGCCTTGGGCCTCTGTATCCTGTTTGTTCCAAAGCTAGGAGTAGGCTGCTGTGCGTGGATTTTAGGGGTAAGTAGGGGACAGTGATTCCCTGGAGGAGCTTCTCTTTTTCTTGATTTTATTGAGAAGAGGTAATGCTGGTTATGGTGGTACACGCCTGTTATCCCTGCACTTGGGAGGCTGAGGCAAGAGGATCACTGCAACTTCAAAGCCAGCATGGGCTATAAAATGAGCCAAAGTACAGCCTGAACTGCATAGCAAGACCCTGTCTCAAAAAGCCCCCCCCACAAAAAAAAAGCGCACAGGTAAAACAAAATTTCAAAACCAGATGATAGGAGAATAACAAGAGTTAATACATTGCATATTATTATCTTTAAAGTAGTTACTCAGAGTACAAGACATGGGCTTAAAAAATTCTCCAATGGATATTATCGCAAACCTTCCTTTTCTATGAACTGAAAGCCATTAATAAAATAAAGCACTTGAATTTTTCTCCTTTTCCCTTTCTTCCTTTCACCCATCCTGGTTCCTTTTTCTTTTTTGATAAATTTCTTCCCATTTGACAATATGTATTACACATTTTAAACCTTATATACTTTTTCAGTTTCTCACACCAGGGAGACAATACAACGTTTACACAGTTAGTTCTCTTTTTTGGTTGTGCTAGGGATGGAACCCGCGGCCCAGTGAATGGAAGCGGAGTGCGCAGCCGCGTGGGCGCCAGGATTCACAGGCCCAGAGGGGTTCTAAGAAGATCCCGTTGCGCAGCTCTTGACGGTGGGGATAAACAGGGTGCTGTGCATGTGGCACAGGTTGTGCAGCTGTGGTGGGAAAGCTTCCTAATCTGGGAAGTTCGAGGTCAGCAGGAGCTAGCTACCAAATTTTGAGGCAAGGTTAGGTTATATGGAGAGACCCTGCTTCACAAGCAAAACTGAACTGAACCAACAGACAAGACTACAAATAATCCCCCCCGCAAAAGAAATATAGGATGGTAGTTAAAGCCATGAAAACAGATTTGGTTCAGAAACTACTGAGAGTAGGGGCATGAACCGAACTCTGTTACAGTTTTGGCAGAGGTGAACTATTTATTTAAACGTATTTATTCATTTGTGTGTTTATTTCTTGGTACAGTGTATTGAATCCAGGCGTGCTCTGCTGCTGAGCTATAGGGTATCATTAAATCATTCAGATGGGTCTCAAATTTCGATCATCGGGCCTCATCCGTCCAGGTACGTGGGTTGGAGGTGCCCTTTGCCCGGCTTGATTTCGTAGCTTTGATTTGGTATAGTAGAGAAGGGAAGACTAGGGATGTACCTCAGGGGATTACGCCTACCTAGCACATACAAGCTCCTGAGTTCAATTCCCCATACTAATAAGTAAATAAATAAAAGAGAAAGGAGGAACAAGGGACAGAGAATTAAAATGTTGAGGGAGAGTTTCTCCATACCGATTGGAAAGAGCTTGTTAGCTGTTGTTAACAGTTTTTCAAAAAACCTCCTTCTTTCCTCTGAAATGAGACCAAAAGTCCCGTTCTTCTTCTTCATTTTTTTGTTTGTTTGTTTGTTTGTTTTCCTTTTTTGTCTTTTTGAGGCAAGATCTCCACCCCAGGGTCCTCCTGCCTCAGTGTGAGGAGTGCTGGGATTACAGGTGTGCACCACCACACTGGGCTCCAAAAGCCGTGTACTGATGAAGTGGCCGGACAGGTTTGGCCCTTCTCTCAGGAGGGAGTTGGCTTTCCTAGGGCTCAGCATTCTTGTAATGCCTTTTAGAAACGTAGGAACATACAGACTCCTGTATTTCATGCTACCTAAGGACTCTCGTGTTTGGATGAGTGGGAAGTTGTAGCCATAGATGAGACAGTAGGAAATACAAGCGCCTAGAGATATAGAAAGTTTAAAGACCTAGACGGAAGTGGGAGACACAAAAGCACGGAAGCAGCTCACATGGATGCATCAAACACCGAGCGCTGCTAGGGAAACCGCCTGTCCCCGTCCTCAGCGTCCTGGGCATTCTCTCTGCTCCGCGTGGTGGTTGTGTCCCCCATGCATTTGTACAAACCTCCTGTGCATCTGTGTCTTACAAATACATGGCACGGTCACCTCTGCCCTCCACGGTTGCGAGGCCGTGTGGGATCTCCTGGGGCCACCCGTCCACCTCGGTCCCACGCCTTGCTCACCTGGGAGTGCTGGCAAAGTGGACTCCACTGCGCTCAATGTTCTGCGCGCCAGCTCGAGACCCGATGCTGCAGCGTAGAGTCACTCGGCTTTTATGATCAACCCTAGTCCTCAGGGAGCGGGCACGCTGCGGGCGGTCTGACCCGGACAGTCTCCGCCAGTAGAAATTTAAGTGCCTCAACCCAAGGTGGGGCTGTGAACACTGATGACTGCCTAATACGGCGACAGCGCAAGACCTGCGCCCCGGAACCCGACTCTGAGAGACTCAGGCAGGAAGATGCAAGCTGGACCCCATCCAAGACAACAGCTTCAACATTAAGAAAGAAAGAAAGAAAGAAAGAAAGAAAGAAAGAAAGAAAGAAAGAAAGAAAGAAAGAAAGAAAGAAAAACTTTCATCGACGATGTAGGGCCATGTAGATATTTCGACGCTGCCGCGCAGGGTCATGGCAACTCGGTATTTTTGCAGGGAGAAAGAAAACGTATGTCCTAGGACCAGAGAGGCACACGGCATATTTACGGGCACAAAGCTTGAGCAGACTGCGAAGCTCCGAAGAGAGAAAGTGGGTCTGCGGAGAACAGGAAGGCCTTAGCAGGAGCCGGGAAATTTTGTATCCAAAATCAGGAATAAAAGCGCGAGCACCCAGGGACAGTTTTAGTTCTGGCCGGCCATTTCCGGAAGGTGTGCCCCGCTTGGGAGAGTAAGCTGTGAGGTCGGAAGTGCATCTCTCCTCCCTGCTCGTGGGCTGGAGTTTTCCAATTGGATTGTCCGCCAGACACTGAGGGGGCAGCAGCGTGGGCACTGGGAGATCCAGGCCCCACGCGGTTCTACCGGGACCCCTGTTGCGCACCAGAGGACTGTGGGATGCACCTGCAATAGGAGGGCTTCCTGCTCTGGGAAGGCTGAGGAAGGAGGACTTCTCATTCAAGGTCAACAAGACATAAGGACCCAATTTGAGGTCACACTGGGTTGTACAGAGAAAACCTGCTTCACAAGCAAAACAAAACCAAGCAAGCTCGGGCAGCGGATATAGCTCAGCGTCACGGCGCCTGCATAGGAAGGAAGCACAGGTCCTGAGTTCGATTGCTGGACCAATAAATAAGTAAATAAAAGAGAGGGTAGGAACAGGGTCACAGAGATGAAATTTTCCAAGGGGTGTTTCTCCATACTCACCACAGTTTTCAACGTGCTCGTTACCCGTTGTTAATATTTTTTGACGATCCTCTGCATTTACCCTGAATTGAGACCAAAAGTCATGTTCTAATGAAGTGGCTGAGGAGGTTTGGCTCATCTCTTTGGAGTGAGGGGGCTTTAATAGGGCTCAGCATTCCTTTAATCCTTTCAGAAAAATAGGAAGAAGAGGGACTCGTGGATTTCATGCTTCCTAAGAACTCTCGCGTTTGGGTGAGAAGGAAGTTGTATCCGTGGATGAGACAGTAAGAAATACAAGCACCTAGAGATACAGAAAGTTTAGAGACCTGGACGGACCTGGGAGACACAAAAGCATGAAAACAGCTCACACGGATGAATCAGAAACCAAGCTCTGCTGGGGAAACCGCACCTCCTCAGAGCGGCTCGAACCTTATGAAGACCTGAGCCCGCAGCCCTTGGTGCAGGGACCCTTGCCTCTCGCTGCTCAAGCATTAATGGCCAATAGTACGTGCATCTTCACGCGGGCTGCCCAAATCGATTTTAGAGAACTATTTCGGGTGCTGCTGATAAAAACCGTAGAGTTCAAACTTGCTCCCCCCCCCCCCCGGCTTTATTGATTTTCTGTGATTGGACCCAAAAAGTTGGTGTCTCTCTTTCCTGCTCTGCTTGCGTTGGTCCGTGTGTGGCTGCCTGGCCGGATGGTATGTTGCTTCGAAAATGGAAACCAAAAGTTCGGGAATGTGTCTCAGCGGCACAGCGCTTGGTCCAGAGTTCCATTCCTGTCACCGGAATAAAAAAGGCCGGGTGGAACTCTGCATCTCTGCTGCACCTGCAGCTCCCTGTGAGGGCGGCCTGAAGGTTCCTGTGTCTGAGCCCTCGGTCCTGCTTAGCTCTGTCTCCCCGCCGGGCATGGCCCTGGGGCTTCAGAACTTTCTTACCTTTAATTTAATGCAAGTGTTATGGTTGTGTGCAGATGTCCCCCAAAGCCTCATGTGGTCCTGGGGGGCAGTTCAGAGGCGGCTGGATCTAGAGCTTGTGGTGCTGGATTACTCAACCAGTCAACTCTGACTGCAGTACAACTCTTCCCAGGTGGAATAACTCTGCCATCATTTCTCTGAACAAGCAGTTCCATGGGTATCAACAGCTCTCAGGCAGTCAGCCTCTGGGATTAAGATGATGTTAAGATTTTGCCTTTGAGAAAAATTATTGATAAGCAGAGAAGTATATCAAACTATCATAAAAGGAGAATCTTGAAAAAGATTTTCTGGTGTCAAGTGGTTTGTTAGTGACTTCCTGCCAAATTCCTAGTCAGGAACTAAACGATACATTGTGTCCAGAGAAAAATTTGCAAAACATTATTGTCAAGTGGTTTTAGAAGTGCTTCTTTTGGCCTGTTGTGGTGGTGCACGCCTGTAATCCCAGCACTTAGGAGGCTGAGGCAGGAGGATTTTTGCGAGTTCCAGGCCAGCCTGGGGTACAAAGTAAATTTGAAGGCAGACTGAACTGCATAGTGAAACCCTGTCTCAAAAAGACAAAAAACAAACAAAAAAACAAAACAAGCAAGTGGTTCTTGCTCTCAGCTAAGAATTTAAAAACTTGTAAAACTCATCTAAATATCATTCCTGTATTTTCCTATTGAATATTGAGCCAGGCTCCTTTGCTTTTCTGCCGCCTCTGTGTCCCACCCCACCCCCGGCCCCAAGATACAGAAGAAAAGCAAAAGGATATGGGCTCTGAACTCTAAAGAACTAGCTGGAAAGTGGAGACTCTGTTTCTTCTAAAGATCCACAGCTGTTTGGGGCATGTCACTGTTTATACTGCTTTCCCAGATGTTGCATTTTATGAAATGTGACTCACTAGGGTGCGACTTGTATTTTAGAGGGAAGAAATCCCTGAGGGCTGGGTGGTTACATAGGTCAGCTTCACTCACAACCTCACATATTTGAATAAAATATTTCTTCGGGGAGAAAAAAGGCAACAAGATTTTACTATGCTCAAATGAAGTATAAAAACCATTGAATTCAGTTTCCTGTGGTAGGAATAAAGGAGGGAGTATATCTTTCTGTTTGTGGAGGTTTTCTTTTCTTTTTTTTTTTTTTCTCTTTTTGAGACAGGGTCTCACTATGCAATGCAGACTGTCCTTGAGCTCACTTTGTAGGCCAGGCTGGTCTCAAACTCACAGCGATCCTCCTGCCTCAGCCTCCCAGGTGCTGGGATTACAGATGTGCACCACAGTGCCCAGCAAGAATGCATTAGACATAAGAGTCTTTCTGCAAGATGAGCACATGAGCAGTTCTGGAGTCAGCTGTACCCAGGAGAGAGGTTTTTAAAATAATGCCTGTGGCTAGGCATGGTAGCACACATCTGTATTCCCAGCACTCGGGAGGCTGAGGCAGGAGGATAGTTGCAAGTTCAAGACCAGCCTGGGCTACAAAGTGAGCTCAAGGCCAGCCTGACCTGCACAGGGAGACCCTGTCTCAGAAAGACGAAAAACAAAACAAAGCAACAGCTGTGTTTCTATGTTCCTCTATTCCTTTTTTCCCTTCCTTTCCCCCTCCTCTCTTGTTCCCCTTCCCATTTAAACATTTTCTTCCTATTTCCCAATACATATTATACATCTTGGTCCTTATTTGCAATTTTGGTTTCTCATACCTGAGAAACAATGGTATATTTAAACGTGTGTCCAAACCTGACATGGTGGCACACACCTGTAAGCCCAGCACTCGGGAGGCAGAGGCAGGAGTATCGTTTCAAGTTCAAGACCAGCCTGGGCTACAAAGTGAGCTCAAGGCCAGCCAGAACCGCATAGAGGGACTCTGTCTCAAAGAGACAAAAAAAAGGCGTGTCCAGTTTATTTCACTTAAGGGTATGACCTCTAGGTGAATTCATTTACCTAGAAATGTCT